TAATCAAACAAAGCAAGAGCCAACAGGCTAGACTTCTAGGGAATTTCTAAAGCTTTGTCTCTGATCTATCTCCCTCCACCTCTTAATGTCCAGAACAAAAAAAATATATGAAAAGTAAAAATAATACACTATTTCATGTCAATGTCAAAGACCATCATTGAGCAAGAATCCAGGTCTAGCTCCTTTCCAAGACTAAGAACAAATCAGTGTCTACCCAGTCCTGGGAATGATAGGAATGGAGGGTTAGGAGAAAGGACATACATTGAGCATGTCCTATGCACAGAGCAGGGTGCTGGGACTGCATATTAGATCATCTTATTTTTCTCTATATTCAAGATGAGTCTTTAAACTAAAGAATGACCTATCATGTATGGGCCACACTTTACAGTTTCCAAAACAGGTTGGCATCTATAGACTCATTTGTTCTAAACAAACATGAGAGGTAGACAGGGCAATGATTATTATTCCCAATTCTAAGATCAGAGAGATGAAGGCAGAGGGTTGCACATCTAATCATTGTAAGACCTTCTTATACCCCACCCTGCCATACTTGCTGCCTTTGCATGAACTCACAAACTCCTTAAGCCATAGTGGTCCCCAAAGCCTCTTTCTGTCCAGTCATTTATTCACTCTCATAAAACCATGCAGTCCAGTCTCATCTGTGCTAGAATTCCTAAAATACTCCAACAGAAAATTGACCGGTGCCTGACAGAACAACCACAGAGAAAGGAACACTCATCGCCTTTCGATTTATTCTTTCTCTCCATGAAAACTGTGCACCTATTGCATGTCAGAGATCCCACCAGACTGTGGGGAAAACTCATGAACAAGAGATGCTAGCCCTCTTCTGATCGGGTTTTCTATCCTTAAAGGCCATAATCATGCTTGAGTCTCTTTCAGAGGATGATGTGAGGACCAAAGTCTGACACTTCAAGAGAGCTCTGACAGGAGGGTTAAAAGGTTGATAGTCGGAATAGAGGAACAAAATGGCGGCGCAGGTAACCGCTGCACCCGCAGCCTCCCGCAACCAGATCAAAATTACAACTAAAATACAGAACCACCAGCACTCAGAGCCTCCTGAAATCTGGCTGCACAGAAACCCTACAACCAGGGAACTGAAGAAGCACTGAGACTGGCAGGAGGGGCGGAGACGCGGGCGGATAGGGGCTGAATCTCAGAGACGCGCCTCAGGCCCACACCCTGTGCCGCGGGTTAAACCCAGGAGGGAATCTTGGCAGCAGAGGTTTCCCGGAGAAGGGGTCCCAGCCCCACAGCAGGCCCTCAGCCCAGGGCTCCAGAGCTGAGAAGAGACGTCCCCACAACTCCCGGCTGTGAAACCAGCAGGGACTGTGGCTGAGGGTGGCGAGGCTGTGGGAGCCCCAGCAGCTCCTCTTAAAGGGCCCTGACACGAACTCTGTCAGACACGCTCCCTCTGAGCCCCAGNGGCGAGGCTGTGGGAGCCCCAGCAGCTCCTCCTAAAGGGCCCTGACACGAACTCTGTCAGACACGCTCCCTCTGAGCCCCAGCACTGGGGGGCAGCTTGAAAGGAACCTGGGACACTTGGGGAGGAACTAACCTGCCTGAAATTGGGGCCAGAGGTGGAGGGTTAGCTTTCTCCCAGGCAGAAGAGCTGGCAGAGGCCATTGCTCCTTTGGCGAGTCCTCCCCCAACACAGCTGGCAGGCAGGCACCATATTTGAATCGCCAGCATCTGACTCACACCTGTGNGCAGAATTATGGTTATAAGGGTGCTCAAGCATATTAGTAAAACTATTACAAAAACAGCTGAGACCACCGATGACGTAATAAAGTACCAATTTGAAATGAAGGTTACACGAACTGAAATGAAGGNCAACACAGCTGGCAGGCAGGCACCATATTTGAATCGCCAGCATCTGACTCACACCTGTGGCCCCGCCCTGTGATTCCTGAAGGCCCCGCCCCTCCCCACCTGCAGCTCATCCAGGCCATTTCCAGGGGCTTTTCTGTGAAAGTGGCCTCTCGAGCCTAATGTTTAGGACTTTNAGTTGGATTATGAGAAAACAAAAAACACCCAACAAGAAGAGCAAAAAGAAAAAAGAATCCAGAATATGAAAGTAGTATAAGGAGCCTCTGGGGCAACTTCAAGTGGCCCAACATTCATATTATTGGGGTGACAGAAGGAGAAGAAAGAGAGCAAGAAATTGAAAACCTATTTGAAAAAATAATGACAGAAAACTTCCCCTACCTGGGGAAAGAAATAGACTTACATGTCCAGGAAGCACAGAGGGTCCCAAACAAGAGGAACCCAAAGAGGCCCANCAAGCCACATCATAATTAAAATACCAAAGGTGAAAGACAAAGAGAGAATCTTAAAAGCAGCAAGAGAAAAGCAGTCAATTAACTACAAGGGAGCACTCATAGGACTGTCAGCTGATTTCTCAACAGAAACTTTGCAGGCCAGAAGGGAGTGGCAAGAAATATTCAAAGTGATGAAAAACAAGAATCT